TTTTAGAACTGTCTCTAGTCTTCTTTCCATGAGGCCAAAGTGCCGCAGGCCGAGCCTGAAGATGGTCCTTCGCCCCCTCCCTACTCCCTTTCTCCTCCATAGACTAAGACTGTAGACCCTGGATGGCACAGCCGCAGGAGACAGTTACATTATGTATCCTTCCTTGTTCCCTTTCTGAGCATGCCCCGATCATGAGACAATCATGCTACGTTCAGCGTAGGCCATATAGCACTAGTTACCCTGCCTTTTCTTCCTGTTTGTCTTACACTACCAATAAAGAGCGCACTGCACTCCAGGCGGCCATTAGCTCCTGACAGGCCATGGCTCCACCTGGTCCCAGCTTTCAAGCATAATCTTGGTATGCATCCTTCTTTCTTGGGATTTTTCAGTTTTCTTCATCTTCTACCACTCTCCCCAGCTTTGAACCCTATGCCACGTGGGTCTCGGCACCAAAGGATTAATCACCCCAAGGAACTGTGAATGGAAATGAGTTTTAAGGAATGAAAAGAAAATATGACACAGTTAGTAGATCCTATCTACCAACATGAGTACCTGGTCTCTCCCTCACACACATACATGCACACCTTCATTATAGCTAAGGATTTGCTTTCCTTTTAAAAATTTTTCTTAGCCAGGCATGGTGGCGTCTGAGAGGCTGAGGCACAGGTTCAAGCCTAGCCTGGGTGACTCAGAAAGAACAAGTCTCAAAAATCAAAAACAAAAAAAGGGCTGGGGATGTAGCTCAGCATGAAGGCCTGGATTGAAGTCCTACTACCACAAACAGCAAAACCAAATCAAACCTGAAAATAAAACCTAAGAGCTAAGTAGGCCACACTCTGAGAAAACCAGTCTCTACCAGCACGCTTCTCCTTCTCCTGTGTCACCTTTACTGCCCCTGAGTACATGATGTGCTGATCAGGGGAGACCAGGCATGAGGGAGGCATGGGAATGAGAGACACAGAAGGGGGCCTCAGAGGCTCTGATCCTGAGGGACACCAGGTACCATGTCTCCAAGTGATGTTCTCCCCCTTAGATGAAAGACTACCCTGTTGTACATGCACCCCATCCCTGCAAGTAATGGAAGCTTTCAAAGAAGCCAACATGACAATGTTTGTAGAAAATTGAGATTTCCCAGGAAATATATCATATACACTGATCTGAAGATTTGTCCTTTAAACACCACTCCCCCCCACACTCTCCTGTGAAGTTTCTCATATGATGGGCGTGGAGCCTACTGCTCACCTTCCTCATCAGTGAGGCCTCAACAGCCTCCTACAGGTCCCTAGTGAAGCTGGTGGTTGAAAATGGCATCAGATCTCCTTGATGGTCAAGGCCACTGACCTTGATACTCAGAGGATGCCCCAACTATCAGAGAAAGGTTCCGAAATAGTCACATCCACTGCAAGGAAACACGTGAGGATGCACCATGACTTAGGCTTCTCTCTCCTGATTTTTTTTTTTCTTTGGTACTGGGGATCAAACTCAGGACGTTGTACTTGCGAGGCAGGCACGGTGCTACTGAGCTAAATCCCAGGCCCCTTCTCTCTCCTGATTTGACAAGTGAGGCTGACATAGAAGTCACAAAGGAGCATGAGGACCTGTGGGGCAGCAGAACTGGGCAGAGGAAGGCAGTTCTTTAGTGAGGAACTGGCTCCTGAGCCAGCAGTCTGCCCTTAGGAGGTGAGTGAGGTACCTGGTTACCATGGCAACAAAGCCCTCCCATTATGCCCTGAGATCTCTGCTGTGAAACCAAGGCCCTCTCTGAAGGATTGGCTGGCTGAGGAGACAGAAGTAGGTCTTCTAAAGTCCTTACATGCTCTTTTTTTTTTGGTACCGGGGATTGAACTTGCGACCTTGCGCTTGCGAGGCAGGTGCCAGCACCACTGAGCTAAATCCCAGGCCCAGTCCTTACATACTCGGGAGGGGTCTGGATTCTCAGCCTCTGAGCATGTCCCAACACTGTCCAGGAACTTTGACTGAGGCTGGAATCACTGTCCTGCAGCCATCAAGTCTACCTTGCTGGGAGCTCTGGGAAGCCCTGATGGAGGCACTGACAGGGACAGAGAATCTTCCTGAGCCTGGGAGTCACAGTGAGAAAAGTAGGAAATCGGAATCCCATGGGAATTTTCGAGGGTCCCTCCTTTGTTTTCTGGGGAAGCAATGCTGAAAGCTTCCTTTTCTTTATATTGTCAAGGATGGTTCTAGAATCTCCTACAGTCACTCATCCTAAGGATTTAGTAACACTGCCAAAACAAATAACTACATTTTGGTTTTGCAGTACTGAGGAACTGAACCTAGGCAGGCCTTTGCACTGAGCCAGCTCTTTGAGACAAGGTCTTGCTCATTTGCCCAGGCTGGGCTCAATCTTGTGATCCTCTTGCCTCAGCCTCCCAGAGTACAGGGATTACAGGCATGAGCCAGCATGTCTGACACTAATTCTACTTGTTTGAATCTAAATTTCACAAACTGTAAACATAGTTACTTTAAGAAACTCTCTTAAAAAGATAACTGATAGAGAAATGTTAAAAGAGGAAAAACTACCACTCTTAATCTTGCCACCATAGGGTTCTTTCATTCTTACAAGCACCTTCTAATCTTGGTCCAGAGACACATTTTTTGCTTAGCTACCATAATGATATTAAAAAAAAACCCTTTTTATCTTCCTGCAATGTAAGAAATATTTTCCCAGTTACTGCCATAATTCCTGCTCTCCCAGGGCCTCTGTGTTGCTGGTAGGCAGTGGAGCGTTGGGGCCTCTGGTCGGCCTTCCCTCTTGGGCTTCACCCCCATAGGGTGAGTCCCACATGCTGCCTCTTTGCAGAACCCATGATCTGTTTTCTGCCAAGGCTTCCTGTTTCTCTCCTTTGCCCTCCAATCTGTCCCAGAGTTTGAAATGACTTTTTTCTATAAAGTAATTTGGTATTTTAAAAATATCATTTGTGAAGTATGTGTTCTACCACTGAGTTATATCCCTTGCCATACAAATACCATTTGCATTCCTTTTAGTGTGTTTTTCCCAGGTGGGAAATATGACTATTGTGTGAACATTCTAGCACAGTGGTGGTGATCTGCTTTGATAAAATAAAGCCATTCTTTGAGGTTGTGTCAGATCATGGAGAAGACTTTGGCATGGAGTGCAAGACACCTGGAACTGAAGGAGATTTTGTATTTTACTTGGGAGCAAGAGGTTTTGATCTAGAAAATGTCTAGTCTGTCCTGCCAAACTCAGCTCTACTTCTTTTTTTTTTTTTTGGTACTGGGGATTGAACTTGGGTCCTTGCGCTTGTGCAGCAGGAGGCGAAACCACTGAGCTAAATCCCTGGCCCTTCAGCCCTACTTCTGACGGGACAGTACATGCTCTCCTGAGTGTGAGGGGGGACAACGTCCCATGAGAGCAGGAGGAAAGGGTAGTTTTTCACAAAAATATTCACAAAATGGCACAACCAACCAAGTTGGTTATTTCTCCTCCTAGACTTAGAGGGTGAACTGGTGCTGCAGAAGTCTCTGAACTTGCTGGTTAAATTGCCTGACCCAGATATAAAGTAGGTAGGCATCATACTGACCCCGCAGGTGGCTGGCCGCTGCACTTGACTGTCTAGGTGCAGGTGAATATGGCCTTCTGTCCCCTGTTCTAGACAAAGCCAAATCAGAACATCCAAAACCCACAAAGACCTCAACTGGGTGCTTTAATGCCACCACTGTGATCTGGCTACATCTGGTGTGTGTTTGGGATCTTGGAGCAGCAGCAGCAGCCGTTGCTACTGTCACAGCCGACCAGCTGTTCCCTCACTACACATGTGTCCCCTTGTAAACCTTCTAGCAAGCTGGAGGGCTTCACGCTCCTCACTTAGCTTTGTTTGTTTTCAGTGAATCAATGGGATATGGAGACTAATCAACATGTTTAGAAAAATAAAGAAAGGAAAAAAGAAGGCTCATGATGCTGGCTGTTCCTGAAAGCTGTGACAGAAAAGCTCCAATATGACTGTGGGCTGAGAGCAGAGGGGCATTTGGGTGGGGTGGGGTGGGGGAAGCCTAGGAGCAGTGGCAGTGGCCAGTCATCCTAGGACAGAGATAACAGGCCAGATGGGAGAAATCTGAGGCCCTGGGCTGTCTGGGACTAACAGGCAGTGGCCAACCTTCTCTGCCTCACCACCCGCTGGTCTCTCCCACCTGTGCCCAGGCTCCATCTCAGCCTTGGTCCCTCTCCTCAGCACTATGGGCTCTCCATCAAACCACCTAGGAGTGTTCCCAGGGTTTTTTTCTCCACTCCTCATGCTCCTGTCTCCCACATCCTGTTGCCAAAAGGAGCCCTTCCAGATGGATGAGATGTTCCCTACCACAATCCTACTGGGCCTCATCCCCTCACTTGAAGAACGGAAGCCCCTGAGCATGAAATCTATCCTTAATTTAGTCCCCAGCCCCAAACTCAGGGCTCTGAACCTAGAAGCCAAAAGATCAATGATGGGGTCCAATGATCGCATGAATGCCACAGCAATCTCCCCACTCAGCTGCGGACTCTCTTGCTCACCATTAAAAGGGATGTCCATGAGGGGTCTAGTTTGCCATCAGCTTACCATATTCCTTCCTTCTTTTTACTATTTACAGAAACTATTTGTAATGGGCAAGATCCAGGAATAGCCACAATGTCCATCAATAAGTAAAAAGCAGTACAAACAGCAGTACCTCGCCACCATGTGATGCTACACAGTCATGCAAAGGAACAAACTCACTACTTGAAATGAGTTGAATGGACCTCAAGGACATTATACCTAGGGAAAAAAGCCAATCTCTGAAGGTCATTTCTTGTATGGTTCCATTTATGATACTCAAAATGCAGCACAGTAGGGATGGTAGCCAAGGTTGGAGACAGGTGTGAGCTTACTTCCAGTTCACGAGATCCATATCAAAGGATGCCTCAGTCTCCTGGCCCAGACCCGAGGAAGGGGACCATGAAAAACAGTGAGACAGTTCACACAAACCAGCAGAAGTAGGCTACTTACCTGAGCTCACACAGCCCTGCTGTAAAGGGTCCTGCAGCGACGTCACTGAATGGAGGACTAGAGAAGAAAAAGACACAGTTAAATGAAGAAGCAGCCCAGAGCTCAGGGGTTTCTAACTAAATGAGGTACAAGGATCAGCAGGGAAAGTGGAGAGCCACAAAGGCCGGAGGGAGATGAGGAAGGAGGAGGCTTCCTGGTGCTCACGGGCAGGCCAGGACCAAGATGGGATGGGGCCATTCAGGCCTGGAAGCGGCTGCCATACAGGCCTGTACTGAGGACAGGCAGAAGCCACTGCCTGTGACACTTTCACTTCTGTCTTTGGCTGGGTTTCCTTCCTGATTCCCTGATTTAGCTACTTGACTTTTACCTATATTTATGTATAAACAGAATTTTCTTAATTGGTAACTCATTTTCTACTGCTTATAAAATTAGCCAGGTACAATCTTGCTCCTAAAAACTAAAGTCAGTCCCATGGTGACAGGTTGTGGAAGGAGGGAGGCAGTTCTCAGCTTCCTGGGGCAGCCAGCAGCTGGAGGAGGGTGCCCCTCCCTGACCAGATTCCTTCTCCCTCTCTGTGTGGCTGCTGGAGGAAGGCAGGGGCAGCCTCACCTGGCCCTTGTGGTTGTCCTTGGACAGGCAGCACTCCCTGGCCCAGCTCGCCATTTAGCCAGAGCTGCATCCTGATGAAGGGCTCTCGGCCTTTCTGGGTTAGCTTGCTCCATGGCTTCGGCCGCGACAGCATGTCACTGACGCTACCCTGGGAAAGGCCCAGCACCTGAAGTGGCACCCAGAGAAACATAGTCAGCATCCAGGTATTAGCATGACATCACAATGTGCTTTAGTGATGCACACATGGCTGTGTGGGGGTATGGAAGGGATGAGGGTACACAGGGAGCCCGGGGAACCACAGCTTGGGGGATTGTGACTGCTTGGGCAGGAATAAGCTTTATGAGATCACTGTTGGCCTGATGGCCTGGTACAAGGTGGGGTCCTGGTCAAGCCATCATTATAGTCTCAGCTTTCAGATCCCAGGGAGACGTGGGGCTCCTTCCTGGGGTCTGGATCCTCCCAAGGCTATGGGGTTGTCATCCCAACAGCTGCGGAGGAAGCACTGGGAAGCACTTGCTCACTGCCTAGGGATACCAGGAAATGCTACGGTGCTGGGCCCAGAACTCCTTAAGGTGCAGAGGGGGGATCCCTGAGGGGATGGAGAAGCCACAATCCTTTGCTTATACCGAGCCAGGGAAACTTAACAAAGGTTTGCTCTCTCTGATCACACCCAGCCCAGAGGTGAGCTGTGGGGAACAGGAGCCAGTCTGGGAGTAATATTCAGCTGTAGACGATCGACAAGTTGCATGCACACCCCCAAGGCTTCTGAGGCTTACATATGGCCATACATATGTATAGGCATACACACCCCACCCAGGACACAGATGCAGCCCAGAGATATTTAGGGGCTGCATCCCATCACTCTTTTGAGAAGTTCTCAAGTTCCAGAATAAACTGCACTCATGGGCCAAAGAAGTACAAAGCTATTAAGTCTCTGCTAAATTTAAGGCATGAGCACAAACGTCTATTTAAATGTTCTCAAATGATATTTTTACAACGCTGAACTAGAAATCTCAAGGGACTTTAAATTCCTATTCTCACTTGTATGTACCTCTATCACCTTTTGCAAAATCAAGACAAAGAGTTCACAGCCAGACAGTAAGGTTGATAGCAGGGTGAACGGCAAGCATGGAGCCAAAGGCTAGGCAGGGAAGGTGATTGGAGGGTGCCATAAGGGGCCCTGAGGCCACTAGGAATCCAACCATGTGCCCTCTGGGAAGGCTGCCTCCCAGGCGAGCAGTGCACTTCTCATTATGTTCAGCAATTCATTACTCAATCTAAAATGATACTAGGGTGTTATGTTTATTTTAGATTTTACAGGCATTAGCAAATCCCCATTATCCAGAGTCTGTCATCAAGGAAGTGCCAAGAACAGAAAGGTCTGGAAGCTCATCCAAGAACTATCACACTTTCAAGAGCTGGGGAGGGATGACACGGAGACGGCAGCTCTCACCAGGTGTGTGTGTTGGGCTGTTGCTCTGCCTCCCTGGCTGGAAAATATCCAAGTGCTTTCTGAGTTGTACTGGGAAGGAACAGTTAGGCTTGGGGTAACTTTTCTATCAAATCCATTTTGGTTCTCTGTGGGCGGATTGTCTCTTTATACCATCATATCAGACCTTTTATGGCCAAAAAACAGCCTGCAGGGGGGTGTCTCTCAGTTTCACTTGGCAGCAGAGGCTGGACAGAATCATCTGCCATCCTGAGGCAAGCAGTAAGCTTCCCTGAGCCTTGGTTCCTTATCTGTTGTGTGGCCACTTTTTGAGGCATCCCCTAGTGTGGCTCCAAGGTCCAAAGGAGGGCACAAGGAGAGAAGCTGGGCCCAGAACCTGGCTTGTCATGGGGCTTAGCAAATGGGACCAGGGAGCTGGTGGCCTCTATAGAAACTGGGAGTCAATGACAATATGATGCGACTGGGTCAATTAAAATGGGTGATGGCCAAGTCTCCCAGAACGGATACTCAGTCCTAAGCCATGAGAAGAGATGCCAATGCAAGCCCTGAACGAAAGCCCTTACCTTCTCCCCGAAGATCCTCTGGCAGATACCGTTCTTAGCCAGCTTCTCTTTAACCTGTCGGGTGAGCTCGATGGTGTCCACCTCTTGGTACATGTAGATCTCATACTGTTCGGGGGTCAGTGGAGGGACGGAGGGCTTGGTGGGCTTCGTCATGGACACGATCGGGGAGGAAGGCAGAGGGCTGTTCTGGGGTGTCTCGCTGCGGCTAGCTCCAGTCAGGCTCAGTTCTGAGCTCTGGGAATACGGAGATTCAGCGTTGGGCCACTCTTTCCAGTACTCTGACGAGGGTCCCTGAAGCTGGCTGCGCTCGGCCCGAGGCTGGCTGGCACCACTGCCCTTTTCTTTTCCACCTGTGGCCTCTTCACCCTTTGTCTCTTCAGAGGAGGTGGGGTTTCTCCTTTCGGGCTGCACAGGACTCCACCAGTGGTCCTTCCACCCACCCCCACGGCCCAGCTCACTCTTCACGTGCCTCAAGACCCCTTGTGCAGCATCTGCCATGCCCTGTGGGTCCAGGACAGGCACGTCCTGGGCCTCTTTTTTGAGGGCTGGGGTGTTGGGCAGGGATGAGGCAGTGGCTTCGGGGGCTGACGGTGTTTTCTTCAGGGAGACAGTGAGAGGAGAGTAACTGGACACGGTGGGCATGGGTGAGGCAGACAGGAGCTTGGGGGCCAGGAGGGTGACGTCAGGCTGGGACAGTGGGGCTGGTTTTAAGGCAGGTTCAAGGGCAGCCTGCTGGGCTTCCATTTCCCGACGGGCTTGCTGCAGGATGGAGCGGATGGCATCATCAGAGTTCCCAGGGCTGGATGTGGAAGATGGCTGGGCTGGCTCTGCTGTGCAAAGGAAACACAGGGAAGAGGTTGAGGTGGAACTGTTCCCTGCAGCTGGTACTTCATTCTACCTTGCCCCACCATACAGCATGGGTCATTTAGGAGAACCACATTGTGCTATTATTCCAGTATTTCCCCCATCACTGAAACATTTGTGCATCCCATCTGAACAGCAGGCACACAGGACTGAGGCCACTGCTTTTTGGCTTGCTGGGTCATTCCACACTTGCTGGATTTCTTAGCACAGAATGTGATGAAGGCGGGAGCCACAGAAATGCTCAGGGATACTGCCCCCTGCGCTTCATTTGTGGAGAATGTTAAACTTGATGTTAAATCTCCTGTGCTATCTCCCACAATTCTTATGGTTCTGTCAAATGCAACAAGAGGCCAGAGCCTCCCAAGGGACCAGTGACCATTATTCGGGGCACTCATGCTCTGCTGATGGATGGCTGTGGTGTGGCCAGCAGGACTGGGTCTCACTGGCAGAAAGAAAGAGGAGTGACAGTGGGGTTCAGAGGAAGTCCCTGGCCCAGGAACCTAGGGCTCTGTGGTTTGAAGAAGTCATAGGCACTGCTGGGCTTCAGGTTTTTCACCTATAAATGGGGATGGCTGATGGACCAGATCAATGGTTAACCAGGCCCTACCCTGCATGTCTGCATAAGGAGGAGGTGTGGGGCCGGCCAGCTTCTGCATTTCCTACCAGCTCCTGGTGACCATGGAGTGTGTCTCTGGCTGAGACAGCCACTATGTCGAGTGCTCCTTCAGGGGGCCTGGATCTGACATTTGGGAAGTCTATGGCTTCCCGGGGCTTGTTTCCCCAAATCATATACTTTCATGTCTAGAAAAAGAAGTCCTACAAGTTGGCTCTTTATCTGCTTTAAAGGATGTCTAAAAATACTGGAAACACCTTGACACCACTTAAGTAGATTCCTATGTACCTCAGGGCTCTTCCTATAGCTCAGTAGCCCTCATAGCACATCAGACAAAGGAACCACAGCTCAGCCAGGAAGTGACCCATGGAGGAAAGGCCTCGCAGTGGGCCTTTCCTCTCAGTCCCTGCCAGGGGTGCTTTGCTAAGCATTCTGGCTGTCCTGCCACATGAGGATGAGTGGGCTTCAATTTTTACTCTGGCCAGAGAGAACAAGAACCACATTAGGTTAAGGACCTCAGCCCCATCTAAATGATATCCTACCTCTCTGAAACCTTTAGAAGGAAGCAGATGGCATCAGAGGAGAAAATGCCAGCACTGGAGATAGGAGGCGTTACCATTGTGCCTACCATCTAATGAGTTTGGGCAAATTATTTTAACACCGAGGCTGATAATCAGAAATAATGGGTGACCAAAACTGTCCTCTGTGATATGAGGACTCAGTTTGAGGAGGATGAGGCAGTGGAAATCATCAGCCTATGCCTGGTCTCCAGAAGGGAGCAGGAACTCACCTACTAGACAAGACCTGTGCTAGGAGGAGACTGAGCAACCAGGTGAGTGGCCAGCTGGTGGCCTGTGCGCAGCTGTCATAGCTGCTCCCTGCAGGCCAGGCACGCAACCTGTGACTAGGTCCATGGGGGAGGTGCTCTGCAGAGTAGTGCTTCATGGGCACTGGGCAGGCTGAACACCAAGAGGAGGTATCCCCAGTCTCCTCTCCCAAAGAAGGGTCGCATCTGAGCCTACAGCATGATCCTCTTCCCAATCAAAGTTCAGCCAGAAAAAAAGTGAAACAGAGGCTCTGTCCTCTGAAAGATGTGGTTCCACAAGTAGGGTGCAGAGGTGGACATCTATCCACAGAGGCTGCCTGCTCCCCACTAGCATTATATGTTTCCATCATGCATCTGGTAAGGCTTTAGTTTTTGCACATTCTTTTTTTAGCTACATTTGGTCAAGTACGATAATAACTAAATAACAAAAGCCTGCATTGTATTTTAAAAAGGATATCTGATACAAACCACCTGCCAATTTTTTCTTTTTCGGTACTGGGGATCATACTTAGGACACCTTGCGCTTGCGACACAGGCACAGTGCCACTGAGGTACATCCCCAGCTCAATTACTACCTGCTAATTTAAGGAGATTCTAAGGCCTGGGTAACATTCTTGAGTTGTTGCTGGGGAATGACAGTAACTAATAATACTGAGACAGATCACACAAATCTGCTCTCCTCTTCATGTTCCTAAATGTTCACTACTGTTTAAAATTTAATCACTGCTGACCAGAACACTCAAGACAATTCTTTTAATTAAGCTTGGAAGACAGTGGTTGAAAAAGTAGAAACTGTACCAGTTTTCTGAACTTGGAGCTCCCTCTTGGCTTGTTCCAGGATGGACTTGATTGCTTCATCAGAACCCGTCTCTGAGGCTCGGATCCGTGTGGTGATGTTACCTGTAGGGAAAAGTCAAGCAATGATATCAAACCAAACTTCTGGTAACAAAATCAATGTCACAAGAAGACATCATTTTGATAAATGGCCCCAAGCTGAGGCTGGGGATACAAGGAGGTAGGTATGGTCTCCCACAGGCCAGCACTTTCACAGCAGGTACCTAGACACCATGCAGGAGGTTTCCTGCTGAACCTGCCTCAGTCAATGTTACTTGGCCAGCAGGACTGGCTTGCAGATTCACCTGAGCTGGTCACAGTCTGTGGGTTAGTATGGGGGGCTGGGGGTGGGGAGATGGACGGGGACAGGATGGGATGGGACAGATGGACGGACGGACGATGAAATCATTAAATGCAGTACAGAAAAAGGGCAGATTCAAAAGCCATGTTTTTCATGAGTCATTCAGAAATGTCTTCAATAATTGCTTCGGCTCAGAACTATATTCAAGTTTTGTACATTTATTTTCCCCAAACAGGAAAAATGGGAAGCAAGGCAAAAGGCTGAGGTTGATCCTTCATCAATCATGTGGGTACACCAGGTCAAGAGGCACAGGCTGAACTTAATTTTTGGGGGGATCTGTAGTCTCTTTTTGAAATTTATGAACAAGGAGAGAAGCCTGAAGGGATTCCTAAAGAACAAGAATGCATTCTTAGGGTCACACGGTGGTGTTCAGACACCCTGAAGCTACCAAGGCTCAGGGGCTGGCCCCAGTTGTCTGGAAGCTGTCCAGATATTTTAATTTTTCACTACCTTACTCAATAGGAAGCGCCACGTGAAACTGTTTAAAGAAGGAAACTCCTGGGATGAAGCCCCATTAGAGATGAAACTTTAAGGAGTGTGGTGGAGGTTGACCTGCCAAGGGGGAACTGACTGCATTTGTAATCTGTGCACCTATGGGGCCTTTGACATATTTTAGAGGTAAAAGTTTGAGGAAGCAGCACTATTTGGTTTGACTTGGTAACTTGATTTTTCTCAGAGCAATAACTGTTATTCTTTCACCTGCTTCTGAGAAAACAGGCATAGTGTAATTGGAATGGAATCCGTGCTTTGGGACTAATCTCAGGGACACCTTCTTGCACCTGGTCTGCACTCTGTAGAGCATAGGCAGCTCAGGGCGGGAGGGGCTGGGCCTCCTGAACCCGTGTTTTGTTTTATACTTACTAGCTCTGTTTTTCCATCAGGTTCCAGGCCAGAATCACACTGCACAGTTTTAACCCAAAAAAACACAGCTAACGACATGCTGCTTCCTAGGTTACTGACTGCAAAGAAAAACACCTGCCTGCAACATACCTTCAGACCCATTTCTTCGTTTCGGTACTTCCTGAAATAGTCTGTTCAGGCTCTGGCCTGGATTCTCTGTTGAAAAACAAGTGTGGTAAGAACAAAACAATCAGGGGAATGGTGGCGTCAACGATATGGGCTGTGTGACATGAAATCTGAGCCTCCTGGTGCTAAAGAAAGGGCTCAGGGCTTCCTGTGCAACTTGGAGCTCTTAGAAACTTGGGAGAGGCCTTTCTCTAGCTGACTGGCCTGCAGAGGCCATGGCTTTACTACAAGAGGAAATCAGACAAACCTAAGCAGTGGCCTACAGCCACCGCTGCCAAGAGGGTTGCAGGGAGGGAGAGCTGTCTCCAAGCAAATCACACGCCAGCCCCCAGAACGAAGCTCCCATTAATCATCCAAAGACATTCAATTTCAGTTAACATCACCATAAAACGCTCTGCGTTCTTGGTGCAAATTGATACTGTTTGGAACATCAAAAGTCTCCCTTCTCGGTCTAGGTCTAAATTTCAAATGTGCGTTTGAAGTGTGGCTGACAAAATTCCCTCTCTGAATCACTGCTGACTTGGCACACAGGTCCCCTGTTCCTAAAAAGGGCAGGGATTCTTTATATTGTGGATGTGGGTGACTTTTGATCTTTTTATGGAGGGTGGAGTAGGAAAGGTGTTTGAATAGGACTTTCATGTATTTTACTCAAAGCAGGTGTGTTTTGCTCGTAGTGCTAAAAAAAAAAAAATCACTAATGAGTTTAGGTGACCATAAGACACATCCTCTTTAAGGGGTCAGGGGAGGAGAGGAGGCAGCTTTGAAAGGCTTGCTCTGCAGAGCCAACGCTGCATGAGGATGGAGTCCAGTCAATGCTGCTTACAGGGCTGGATGGTACCTGGGGGCCACTCCCAATGTAAGGTCAGCACCCAGGCCAATTGGCCCCAGGGATGCGAAACATGCCAGAATGCTGTGCATAGTGCAATTCCCACTAATTCAGCATACAGCAGAGATCCTGAATTCCCTAAGTGCAAGGAGCAGAGCAAGTTCCCAAGGCCAGCTCCCCCAAATCTAAAGGCTGTAGCTCATGAGGCTCAACCCTTGAGCTCTAGAAATGGTACCACCGAAGAGAATTTTACCTGATGTGATGTACAAATGTTTTGTCACACATGCAGACATTGCATGCATGCACGCACACACGCACGCACTCACGCACATGGCCTCGTAATGGGCTCACACACTGGCGCCAACCCGAGGGTGTCTCTCACCTCTTTGTCTGCCTTGGATGCTGCGCAGGGCCAAGATGTTCTGCTCGTCGGAGAGGAACTGCTTCATCTTGTGGAATGGCTCTTTACCTCGGACAGTCAGTTTATTCCAGGGCTTTGGCCGGGCCAGGATCTCGCTCACAGACCCTTGTGACAGTCCCAAGACATAATGTCCGAAAATGCGCTGTCCAATATTGTGCTTGATCAGCTGCTCTTTGACCTGCCGGGCGATTTCTGCAGTGTCTATCTCCTCGCCCTCGGAGACGCTCCCAGCACTTTCGGACTGACTGGGAGATGGGGCCATGCCATTTACATCTGGGCTTTGTTGTAATGGAGTTGGGGAAGATATGGAATTTGTGCTGTAGGGACCTGTTGAAAAAATCATGCTTGTGCTTCCTGCTTCCTGCATGGCCTTGGAGTAGAAGGAGTGCATTAGCTGTCGCTGGAGGAGAGAGTTTAGTGCAAATTTTCCTGTAGAAGCCAGGGGTAGGCTGGGGCTTGCCAGGGATGAGCTGAAAAAGTCTTGACTTAACCCCGCTGGTGAGAACTGGTGTGTACCATTAGTATTGGAAGCCTGCTCCCCCGTGTTGCGGGGCAACTGAGGAGGAGGGGAGGCCGGCAAGGGTCCAGGGCGCCGACTCTCAGGCTGGTCTTTCCCTTTTCTCCTGGCTGACCCTACAAGGAAGGGCAAACAGAATGCATTATGGGGGATTCCAAAGGGGAAAAAATACCAAGACCAGAATGCAAAGTAAGTTTGCCCCACAAAAGGGAAAAAAAAAAAAGTGCAGATTTTATAAGGGCCAATGAGGTGAGTTGGTTTGTTTTTTGATTGAATTTGTCAATCAGCCAAACGAGGCCCCCCAAAACAAGCCACATGCATTCGTGTTTGCACCTTTCTTGTATGTTGCAGCCTGGAGAATCCCCTTTGACAAAGGTTCAAAGTGCTAGTGACAAGGATCCGGTAACACACACAGGGAAGAGTCGACAGGTCGTGGACCTCAAGTGGGGCCTCTAGCATTTGAGCTATCACCAGAGGGCCCTGCCTGAGGAGCAGCAAACACTGACATTTGGGGACCAGTGGGGTCGCTCCCCCACATGCCCTGAGGCGAAGGTAATGCACCGAGTCCACGCGATTGAAGGCGCGCACATTTTAGAAATGCAATATCATCGGAGCCCACACACTGTTAACGCGGTTTACCAGCTGCCAAACCAGAAGCAGTCAGTGACGCCACCATTTTGGGATGAGCACAGAAAGGCTAAGGATGGGGACGCATTCCCCAAGGAAAACCTGACAAAGGAAGAAAAGCACCCTGAGCCTGGGAGGGCAGGCGACCCCTGTAAGCAGCCCTGGAGACACTCTCAAGAAAGGCCGTGCTGGCTTCTGCCCCTGGCCTGTTCACAGCACAACTACAAAAGACCGGAAAGCCAACATCCTGAGGTTGTCCTCCTGGAACCTCTGCAGACACGCTGCAGGGTGCGCGCATCTTGTCACAGGGCAGGTGGGGCAGAGTGGTGAGGAGGGGTCACCAAACACTCAAGGTTAGTCACAGTCCTCATCAACCGGCGGTGCTTCCGCCATGCATGAGCCCAGACTCACATGTCACCCTCCTCTTCCTTGAGACCCCTGGAAGCGAACCAAGCACGGCACGCAACACCCGTCCACCTACCGCTCAGGTCGCTGTTGGAGATGCGCAGTGCAGCATTCTCAGACTGCAGTGAGCGGTTCTTCTCCAGTAGTAGTACCTCCAGGGGCTTGGCTGCTTCCTAGATGGGGCAGAGGGGGGCTCACCATAGGCTCATGATGGGGCAGCCATCACCAGGTCCTGGGGCCCCAGACCTACCACCCTTCCCTGTTTGCCTGCCTTCCCACCTCAGCTTTCTGTTGCAGAGAGCTGATTTCCCCCAAGGATGCTTAATGGACTCTCGGAAAGAGTCCTTTGAAAAAGAATTAATTTCTGTTGAGGTATTTTTTTCTCCTTGCCTTAGAACTTGTGTGACTTTTAGACAATTAATTCTTCTCAATTCTGTCCCCAAACTCTGGTAGTTTATCTAAGCCTGGCAATAAGACAAGGTGCCAAGCTACCAACCTGTGTCAGAAAGTAATGTAAACCTTCAATTTTTTCCCCCCCAGCATGAAGATGTCAGTTTCCTTTTGCAGATTGGAAGCAAGTTTCCACCTGTGATGTAAATACTGTTGATTTAAAAAGCGTTTTTAAAAATGAGAGGCGGGGTCTTGCTATGTTGCCCAGGCTTGCTATATTGTCCTGGGCTCACATGATTCTCCTGCCTCAGCCTCCCAAGTAGCTAGGACTAATGGTGTACATCATCATGTGTGGCTTCAGGATGTAATTAAACTGGCCACCAATGCTTTTCCAGTGAGGAGGTGCACAATTAGTGTTCCTAAGGTGATTTTTTTTTTGCGATCTATTTTTTGATGTCATGTTTTTTTTGGTCCCAGGGATCAAACTCGACCTTGCGCTTGTGAGGCAGGCAGTGGAACCACTGAGCTAAATCCCCAGTCTGCCTTATCTATTTTTTGATCTTGAACACAACCCAAATTTTATTTTGTGTTTTGGTGCTGGGGTTGAACCCTTGCACATGCTAAATCTGTGCTCTTCTGCTGATCTATACCCCTAGTCCCTGAAATTTTTCTTTATCCATGTTCTTAGTGCCTGGCCAAGTGAAACAACAATTTCGCTGGAATTGAGTTAACAGTTTGGAAAACTCTTCCCTTTTTGTCTGTTTAATTACAGATCATTTGCTTCTGCTTGGTTAAAAATTCTTGGAGAAGGACTCAGAAACACAAGTGAGAGGACCCATATAAAGATGGAGATGGCAAAGTAGGCCCTGGGTACCAGCAATGGCCAGTAGTGGTGCTGCCACTGCCCAAAGAACACAGAGAGTGTACCTGTGTCCCAGCTCCTTCGGATGGTGCAAACTCCATGGACTTCAAGATGCTGAAAGAGCAAGACAGAGCAGTGATTTTCTACTTATACCTTTGATAACAGCCACGCTAATAATAAGCATTAATGGTACAATTTCCTGCTCTCCAGGAGCTGAAGAACTGACAACTTTAACAACTTCCCTGGCAGGAGCTTTAATCTGATAATGTCTTTAGAATAACTAGTATTCAACTAGCAGTTGGCTAGCAAAAGATTTTTTTGCCCAGCATGTAAATCATTCCATATGGAATCACACCAGGTCTGTTCAGAGTATAATTTTAAAGTTTAATACAGACATCACATTGTTGTGAGTGGAATGTATTTGTGAAGCTTAAAGGGAATGAAAAAGTTCTTCCAGGGACACCACAGAGAGGGCAACTCTCTACTGTGGACATGAACTTGGTAATCAGGACCCACTCAGGGCCCAGGAAAAACAGACAAACAGCAATATCCCATACAGGGATGGCTCGAAGGCCAGGCAGGCAGACCGTGCAACCCCAGATCTGAGAAGAAGCTCTAAAGACAGAGGCATATCGAACATCATTCCCCATTGTTCCTGTTAGCACGGGCATGGGCTAGGTTCCAGAGCTGCTCCAGGCTCTGGACTGTCTGAACAAGGCAGGAGGTTGTGAGGTCAGGTCCCTGGAACTACTGTTGCTCATGCTCTTTTTGCTGGGGATGATCCTTTCTGCCAGCATCAGAGAGAATAGGGGAAGTGAGTCTGTTGGGCCCTAAGGAGCTGCCCAATAGGGAACAACGGGGCTTGGACAGGCTGGGTCCACAGGGAGGTTTACAATTTGTAGGCAGCAAGTCAAGTGGACCCTTCCAGTGTTTCTGCAGCCGAGATTTTCGTCTCCCATAATTGAGATTTTAAGCTCGCACAATGATGGTAAAGAGGCTATTACAGGTGAAGGGCCCCCAGAGCTGTTGTGCTGGTTTGGTTAAGGAAAAAGACTGGCCTCTCTAGTTGTCTGCATCTTTGCATTGTGTCTACTGTGTCAACTAACAAAAGCAGGGACAAGGTGGAGTAAACCATGTGAGAACTCTGGGTTTTTCATATTACACAGGAGAGGCTATGAGCTCTCTGGACAAACTTGCCTTTTTTTTTTTTTTTTTTTAAGAACAATTCATGTTGTTTGCATCTATATTCTTGTTCTTTATTTGGGTCTTCTTTAGGATGATGCAGTGAGAGGCTGAGTTAGTCTGTATAGGTTAAGCATCCCAAATCTGAAAACCAAAACTTTTTGAGGGCTGGTATGACCCTACAGTGGAAAATTCCACACTACGAAACTTTGCTTCATGTACAAAATTATTAAAAATACCGCATAAAATTACCTTTCAGGTTATGTGCAAAAGATGCATATGAAAAATAAATATTGTGTTTAGATTTGGGTCCTATCTCTAAGACACCTCATTACATATATGCAAATATCCCAAAACAAAAACAAACCAAAATCCAAAATCCAAAATATTCTGGTTTGCTGGAGGTGGAGCCCAAGACCAGAAGGAGTGGCTCCAGGCAAAGTGGAAGCTGCAAGAGCCAGTTCCTCTAGGTGCAGGGGGGTGGGGGTGGGGGTGGGGCAGAGGACAGAAGAGGCCAAGGAAGCTCTCTCCCTGGAAGAGCCCAGGGCACAGGCTCTTGCAGGGTCTGGGGAACACACTGTTGGATAACCCGGGAAGGGAAGATGCAGTCAAAGGGAGGCCAGGGATGCTCAGGCAGAAGGTCAAGGGGAGCCTCGTACACTGTGGAAGAGCTGGCATGGGCTGCATGGGGGAGGTGTCAGTGAGCTTGGAGTGTGATGTGCTTGGAGGAGACGACAGGTAGGGGCCAGGCCTGGGAGCTCTGGAGAGCAAGGATGGGCTTGGGGGAAAAGTCAAAGGTAAGGGGCCAGGAGGCAGATAGAGCCTGAGGAGGGAACTTCTGCTCATGAGAAAGTAATACCAGCCCTGGAGGATGAACAGCTTTCAGCTGTGGCCTCATGAAGGTGAATGAGTCTGGGAAAAGAGGGCCTAAGTACAGAAGGCTCTGCTTCTCTTGGAGATTTTACATTTGAAAAACAGGCTCCTGTTTACAATTTCTGTAAAGGCCGTATTTCCCCTGACTCCGTGCATACTGGGATACTTTTAAATGTACAAAGTCTTATAAAAAGATCAAAGAATTCTAGGAGAGGCCCAAGTGCAAACACCCCCAGTGCTGGGCAGCCCAGGGCACCACAGAGGCAAAGCTCCAGGGCCTGCAGCTGCCCTAACACTGCCTGGCATCTGCTGGCAGATGATCTTCCCAGTATCTTCAGACTTACTTCAGCTCTTTCTTCACCTCTTCATAGTCAGCCTGGCCTTTGAGTTTTTCTTCCAGTTGCTAAAAACAGAGGGAATTTGTTAGTGGCCATGTCCAAAAGGTTGATGGACTTTTTTTGACCATGTTCCCTGTATGACACCTGGCCATTATGGAGCGGGGAAACTGGCAACATGGGTGTCGCCTTTTGCCTTCCTCTTTTGGCCCGGCCCATGAGTGTGGTCAGACTCTGAGCAATCAAGGTTTAAGTGTAAAATGCAATATAAGTGAAAGGGAAAAGGTTCACAAAAGTGGCAAACAGAACAAGGGAAATTACACTTTGCACAAAATACCAGGAAACAGCAAATTAAAGTAGAGATGTATACTTGGCATTTAAAAAGCAGTGTGTGGTATTTCATGAAAGGTATCTGGCTCACTGTCCACACCTTTTGAGGGACCCCTGCTAAAGAGAGACACAAGCTCTTTGCTGTAGAGTACTGGCATCAAACAGGCATCAAGAAAAAAAGTATTTGTGCTTCTGGAGCCATGGTTATTGATATGTGGGGTACGCCCAGCCTTACAGGGAGTGACAACACTTTCCCAAAGTTTGATGATTCTCAGGTAGTACAGAATAGTCAGAGCTTGCTGAGCATTTCTGGTTGGCAAGAGCAGCTGGTGTAGGGCATTACTTGAGCTGTGTGCTAAAATGGTGTTTTTGGACTGCTTTGTATCTGGTCTCCCCCAAAGGGAGTTCCTTGAGTTAAAAAAGGCTTTTAGACGTGAACTTTGAGGACAGGGCAGGGTTTCAAAGCTCAAGCTACATAAATTCATGGCTTGAGTTGTCAGCCCCTTCCCATCTACAGGGTTTCCAAGGGTCAATTTATGCTCTGCTTGCCCAGCTATGACTAAAGGCCACAGTTTAAAATGCCTGAGAACATTCTAGTGTGGGTAGGAGATACCTAGCAGCCATCAGTCTTAATGCTCCTGTCTCTGACCCCACCTGCTAGTTTGAGAATGCAAGAGCGCTGTAAATGACACTGGCCCAGCCATTTGCTGCTGCCTCTGCTGGCAATTTTGTGTGTGTGTATTTTCCGTGGTGTAAAATTGCTCTGCCTTATTCCTTTTTCAGATCTCTTGCCAACTTTTTACATTATAATGGTTTTCTCAGTCATAATTAAATGCGAAGTAGTAAGCACTCATTTTCCCACAAAAGATTCTCAGAAGGTGCTTCTAAAGAAGTGATTATTTCATTCTCTTTCCTATACTTGACTAGCGGGAAGCTCTAATGTGCCTACCTCCTTCCTTCACAGAATGTTATCTACAGCATGGCTGGGAGGCTAAATAGCAGCTGGGCACAGTGGTGCATGCCTGTCATCCCAGCACTCTGAGAGGCTGAGGCAGGAGGACCCAGCCTGGGCAACTTAGTAAGACCTTGTCTTAAAGGGCTGAAGATGTAGCTTAGTGAGTGCAAAGTCCCTGGGTTCAATCCTAGTATGGTGGTGGTGGTGGTGGGGATAAACAGTCAAGAAGTGCTCAGCACCTCTTTTGTGATTCACCCACCATGACAGTTCTTGTCTTGGGCAGATAAGCTGGAGGGAAGCCTGGTGGATGATGCCCATGATGCTTGTCCTGACTTGCAGAGCAGTTCAACCTGGTTCCAGGGCAGTGTCCTTAGAAGTGACTCACTGTGCATGTCACATCTCAAAGCTGCACTGGAGGAGGTAGGAGGATCACAGGTATGCCCCATGGATTCCCTGCTCCTGCTGCTAAATGCTGGTGGGCAGGAGAAGCAGCTAGGGCCAGTGCCACAGAAGCAGAATCTGGAGACTGGGTTATCTTCCCCTGAAATGCACAGATGGCCCTGGCTTTCTGTGGTTAGTCAATAATGTTGTGAAAGCAATACTCCGCGAGTAGAAACTGCACTGAATTTTGAATTTGGCCCCTTTCCTGGGCTCGTGATTTACGGATCCTTCCTCTCAATACGGGGCACCAGCAGCGAGTCAAAGCCCTGTCACTGGTGCGATCACTGATATGTACTGTGTGCTGGTTGCTGAGCTGTGATGTCTGAGAGGTTAGGTATCTTAGATGAAGTTTCCAGAGATGGACACATGTGAGCCTCGGTGATGAACTTAGCCTTTGGGTATGAAAAGTCAAGCTTCTCATCTGAAAAGTAGGGGAGGCCAAATTAAGGTGAGTTTTCAAAGGACAGTGGCAAGCACACACAGGGTCACCTGGTGGAGACTGCCAAATGCCACTCACCACAATTGTGTCCATGCTGCAGCCAAGTTTACCTGTGGTTCCAGGAACCTAGAAGGTATTCAGGTACTTCCTTAACTGCTACAGAAACTATCTCTCTGAAATCTTAAAGTCTCAGTTAAAACTTAAATCATAAGGAACTTTAATGTAAAATATCAGGTATTTTGGTACACAACAAGTTAAGATGCTTAATTTATAAAGGACACTGTCTTTCTCAAGTTGGAAAATATGGTCCTTGGAGTTCGAGGGCTACAAGCAAAGGGACCTCTGGTACATTAGACCAATGTGAAGACCTGTGCAGAGGCTGCATCTTTGGGGCCACCGTGGGATGAGGTGGAGTCTGCAATACAGAAGAGTAGGCTTGATTCTTAGCAGTGCCACCAGAGGCTGGCTGGCTCAGGCTGGGGTGTTGGGGTGGACAGCTTGGCCTCCCCGGATCATTGCTCAGCCCCTCATTGATGCTGACTCTGGGGTCCAGGCCCAGGCAGCTTGAACCTCTTTATCTGTGAATGGGGATCCTCCACCAGTAAGTACATCTATCTCATGGTTCCTTGGGAAGAGGCAGCGATCATGTAAAATTGGGGTCTGGTGATGGTGTGGCTGGGGGAACAACCCAAGGATGCCCCCGTGCCTGGATAGGGAGGAAGCCCCAGTCCTGGATCCATTGAAACACTAAGGTGAGTGCTCTACATGTGTTGAAGGGATGCTGAGAACATAAGGTGGAAGGTGAAACCCCCCAAGGCCAGAAGGTGGGGGACTGAGGGTTGCACTGGAGGATCTGCTCTTTCCTATGAAGCAGGGGGCTCCCTCTCTTCCATGAAGTGGGGTCCTGATGCCCAAACATACTGAAGCTATAGCAGATAGAGCAGCAGGGCTATCAAGCATGGCTCTGGAAGAGGAGGGACCCTGCAAGTAAACATGACACAGGTCGCCTCCACCTTCCAGGAGCCGTGCCCTGGTATTGCACTGACAGGAGCTAATTCCTTGCAGAATGGAATGATCACAGACCCCAAGAGGGACCTGGTTTAATATTCAGGTCACCTATATATGGCATATCATATGCACTGCTATGCTGGGGATGGTGTGAATTCTTTGGATTCACTGAATGAGTGGGTCCAGTGTGTCTTTCCAAGAGGATTCACCATGGATGCCCATGAACAATTAGCTCCCTTAAAGCACTGTCAGTGATGCCAAATGATTTACAGGGATTTTACAGGAATCTGCTTATGACCTCCTCCTGCCAACCAAAGGCCACCTCATTTCTCACCCTGCCCTCACTCTGCCAAGCAGACTGCTTCTGCTTCCCACTCAGGGGCCATGCTGGCCTTTCTTCTTGCTTCTTCCTTTCCTGGGCCTACTCACAGTATCTTTAAGGCTCAACCAAGACAATGCTATTATTAGAACTGCGTGCCCTGGGCTCTGTATGACCCTGGATGCCTGACGTCACAACCTGCCTGGGCCATTCTGGAGGTGAGGTCCTCTTTCCATCTGCCTACTGACTTACAGTGACAACAGGGAGAAGGGACATGTAGAGGCCACACTGTCAGACTGGGGCTGTGCCTCCTGCTATAGCTACAGGCTGGATACCTCTAGGCCTGATGTCACCAGAGACCATGATGATCACCATGGGCACTCACAGAGCATCACTGGAGCTTTATAAGCTGAGAGGTCTGTGCCTGCTGGTTAGGACCTCATGGAGGGCAGCCCAAGCACAGAGCAACAGCAGGCTTCAGAGCCACACTGCTGGCAGATGGAAGTTATGGGACCCAGAGGCAGGGTCTAGAGGCACATGGAACCTGTCTGAAATTTAAGGGCCTACAGGAGGCTAAGAAGTGGTTATCAGTCTTTCTTCCTGCCCCTATGCCTGAGGGGCACAGCAAATTCCCACAGTGCTCAACGGGACCCATCAGAGACTCAGGAGGTGGGGGGGGGGGAGAACGGGTAAAATCATATGAGTTTGGAAAAAGACCCCCAGGTGATTCTAACACACTTCCCTACTTGCCCAGTGGGAAGTGCTAATCTTTAAGACATCTTTAGAAAAATGTAATTTCTCTCTATGGGAGACTGGCATTCTTTTAGCTAGCCTTTCTTATAAATACCCACTTTAAATTGAAGCTATTGGTAGCATTATTTTCTATGCCATAGTGAGCATAATGCAGGTGACTGCCTAATTATACTGCCTCTATATTCAAGTGTTGCGACAGAAAACCATGGAATAGAGAGTTATCAAAAATAGCAGCCCTGTCATTGCAGTCGGGTTATTTCATTAATTACGAATATGGAATTATCCTCTGCAAATGGCACCGTGCTTGAGCACTTGTCACATTAGGCAGGAAGAAACATCTCCACTTGGAAGCCTGTCTCCCCATCTATTTAAAGGTTAGAGGATGCTGGATGAGATATGGATAGTGCTGTGCTGACTGTGAACTTTGCTCCAAAGAGTGGAACCCCGGCCAGGAAAGAATGACAGTCATGCAACCATCAGGATGACATCTATTGTCCAGAGGAAAGGAAGAGATCTTGGTGGGAACAAGATGGACAGTTTCAACCAGCTAGGGGCAGCAAACCAATTAATCAGTTGCCCATTACATTCAGTTACAGACAATGCCACCAGAGAGTATTAGTGGAAAAAGCCCAATCATCTCAGAACTCAAGATTTCTACTCATGAAGCTTTTGCCTGTGGAAGGCATGGGCTGCCCAAGTAACTGTCATCAAACACATGGGCATTTGTCTTAAAGATCGAGGACTGTTAGGTATGGTGCCCATGCCTATATTCAAGCTATTTGGCAGGCTGAGGCAGGAGGAGCACAACTTCAAGAATAACCTTGGCAACTTAGTGAGACCCTGTTCCAAAATCAAAACATAAAAAAGGATTGGGTGGGGAATTTAGCTCAGTGGTTCTGCTGCCTGCTTTCCAAGCACAAGGTCCCCCCGGTACCAAAAAAAAAAGATCAATCCCTGGGGGAGGGGGGAACCGCTTTCAAATGCTCATGGAAAAATTGCCCACAATTCCAAAGAGCTGACAGTTGAACAGGAAGGCATGGTATCCTTTACCAAATAGCACCTCAATTTCAGCAGCCATTACATTTCCTGCAGACCTCCAAAGCTGGAAAACATAGTTCAAAAACAAAAAAACAAAAAAACAAAAAAATGGAGGGAAAAGAAGGGAGGAGTGGGGAAAGAAGAGGCAAGCAAAGTTAAGACAAGCCCTAACTTGCTCCCACTGCTGCCTCAGTAGCTCTGACCATGGAGTCAGTCATTCCCAGCAAAAGCATCAGGTTGCTGATGTGACAGATCTCATTCATAAAATAGTTCCCTAAAAACTGTATCCCTGCTTAGTTTAGATTGGAGACTATCAATTATGCACATCAGAAAAAAAACAAAGGGCCTGAGAAGGTATCTCATTCAATTAATCTTATTCCATTTGGATATGGGAGATAGATTTGCTCATTTGGGGGAATCTAGGGCCTTTTGTGAGTGAGTTTGCTATCAGAGAAAGCTTTACTCCTGGTGACAAGGGGTTAAGATAATTAAAATCAGAGAAGTCTTGTTACTAGAGGATATGTTTTGATTATTAGATCAGATGAAGATAAGGGAGCAATGATTTTGGAAGAAGTGTTGCTGAATTGTTTCATTAACTGTGTAGTATTAAAGAATTCCCCCAAGATACGGATAAAGAACATTACTTTGTGACACTGTGTTTCATTTTTTGTGAAGGCAAACATTAAAACCTTAACTAATTTAGAAGAAATTGCTCCATAATGAAAAATAGAAGGTCTATACCCTTGGTTGCATGCAGCCATATGCAGGATGCATTTGAGTCATGCCCTTTAACTGTGACAAAGGGGAGAAAGGCAGGTTATCTAATAATAATGCCATTGCGAGGGTCAGAAATGGCTATAACATGAGAAAATTAGGTTTCATCTAGAGATAAAAAATGAGCCCTGGTACTCACTGGAGAAGCTGATGAGAAGAGAAGAAATGCTGGAGAAACAGGAGAAACAGGAGAAATAGTGGCCATGGTTAATGAGGGACATGACAAGCTTTCTACCGTCTTCCCAAAGCTATAAGACTGCACCCAGCAGTTTTTCAGAAAGTGGATAGGATTCACCCTAAGGAGGCAAAGAAAAAACTAGAAGGGAGGGCCACAGGTGCCACTGGTGTCAGAGACAGGCTTGCGGAAAATTTAATTCTAGATTTAAGTTTGGGTATGTGTTGAGAAGAAAATCTCCATTAAAAAAATAAAAATGGGCTTAGCTACATTTTAAAATGACTTTATACAAGAAGAAAGTTTCTTTTTTCCTTATTTTGAGATGGGATCTTTGCTCTGTTACTCAGGCTGCCCTTAAACTCCCAAGTACAAGCAATCCCCCAGTCTTAGTCTTAGTAGCTGGGACTACCGGTATGTACCACTGCTCCTGGCTGCTTTACATTTTTACAATTAATTCCAATCTACTTCATTTAGTGTACATTGGTTCATTTATGCATGCAACAAGGAGCTATAGGGCAGGAACAGGAATGGTCCTGGTTGATCAGGTAACCCCTAAATCCCTTCCTGGCCCTGCCTCATCTGCCAAAGAAGATACCTCCCAGGAGCCCTCATGGTGCTGACACCCAGCAATCTAGGGTTCCACAACTGTCTTCAAATTACATTTGATTTGAAGGACTGCAAGTACTTCCAAGTATAATTACTATTATTTAGTATTCTGGCTTCTGCTAGGCTGCCTAGCCAGTCTGTCTGGAAGGGGAGGCCTGGGACATAGGACATGGGAACATCCTTCAACTCAGGGGCTCAGACAGGACCTCAGAGGCTGCTGGGTTTTTGTGTGGTTCAGACATGTGGCAAGGCATGGTTCCAGTGCACTGGATCCTCTCATCCACAGACAGCCAGGGAGACCTGAAGAGCTGACTAAAGGCACATCTACACCAATGGCCTGGTTGTGACATACACCAAGCCCCACACAGAAGCACAGGAGCACCAGGCGCTGCCTTCGGAGTTCTCAGGTAGTGAGGCAGGCAGGTATATGCACCAACCACCTGGGGACTCTCGTGCTTCAGACAAGGAGTGGCTGTAGAGAGAGATATGCTGTCCATACCAGAGCCAGCAGTGGGTTCAGCTCGTTTCCCACCCTAGGCTCTGGGTCTCTGCTTCAAACTGCCTGGAAAAGGTTCAAGGCTGCTGAGTTTGCTGCCAGTTCTTAGAAGGCACAGGGTGTGCATGTGGATGTGAGTGTGGATCCAGCCTGCTGGTCCCCTTGCACCCCTCACTCCAGTGGTGTCCTTACTTTGAGTGTGCTGTTCTTGGTGCTCAGCTGCTGTTCGAGCTGGGAGATCTGGCTGGCTGAGTTCTCTCGTAGCTTTGTGAGGCTGGCCTGGAGCCTCTGCACGTCCTCCACCAGCTGGGCAATCTCCCGCTCCTTGGCGGCCAACTCAACTTCCAGGCTGGAGCGGGTCAGCACCTCTATGGCCTGCTCCTGGGGAAGACAAGAGAAATGACAAAACTGCACTGGCTTTGGGGTGGCCTTGGGGTTCTCTGTGAAGGCAACGGAGGCAGAAACCACCCAGATCTCAGGATGTGCGTGGTGAGCTCAGGGTGAGCCAGGACTTCCTGCCTTTGCTTGGACAAAACCTGCTGTGTGCCCTCCCCACACCACCTTCCCATTTACATGGTTAGTTGCTACCTGGACTCATTCTTTCGACAAATACTTTCTGAGTACCCACTGAGTCCCAGGCATATGGCAAAAGCCCCAGGCTTCATGGGCCTCAGTCCAGTGGAGGATGGGGCAGGACAGGTAAATCCCATTAAATAGACTCAATAGTAACAAGAAGTGTGTTAGGTGGTAACAAGTGTTATTAAAAAAAAGCAAAACAAGGAGGGCACAAGAATCAGAGCTGGGAGAGGCCTGAGCCTTTACTGAGGTGGCCAGAAGTCTCATTGAGACAGAGGACATATGAACAGAGTTCTGAAGGAAGTGGTGGTCAGTGGGGAAGAACACTCCAGCAAGGGAATGGCAAGTGAAGTGGCTCAGAGGAAGGCACCTGGAATCAAACACCCAGATTTTCTATCCCAGGGTAGGAGTCAATATCCTTTGGATTCATTACTAAATTACTTAGAAGCTGAGGTCTTGGTTTGACAAAGTGATTCTTAAGAGTTTAGTATTCCAGGGCCTGGGATTTAGCTCAGCGGTTTTGCTGCCTGCTACGCAAGCGCAAGGACCTGAGTTCGATCCCTGGTACCAAAAAAAAGGAAAAAAAGAAAGGAAAAAAAAAAAAAGAAAAAAGAGTTTAGTATTCCACCCAAAGTTAAAAGATATGGAAGATGCATATTTGGATTCCTTTGTGTAGAAATTCTCATGGTAAGTGAGTTTTTAAAATAAAAAAATTATTTTTCTTCCTCCCCAAAATGCTTAGTGCAGAAAATATGCATCACAGAGAAAAGATATTTTTAAAAGGGCAAATCTCTAATTCTGCTTCCAAGACTCAAGCAGTACTTTTGTCAAGCTTTAGAAGTAATCGCAGTTCTGGGATGATTGTGGAAGGTTTTCTGCTGGGCAGATGTGCTTCTGACTGTGACTGACAGGGGCTGGCACTAGGGCTCCATCTAGCCTTGCCTGTGCCCCTCTTTGAAGTGTGCTGCTTCCTACCTCGGTCTTGCCTGTACCTGGGTGGAAACAGGTGGCAGCCACTGCCCTGCTGGCCATACAGCCAGGCACCCAGGAAAATGATCTTTCACATCTCCCTCGTGGGAAATCTACACCTTTAACATTTGAGACAGGAAAGTTCTGTGTGCCAAGGAGTGGCCTCTTTCTGTTTCTTGGATCTGTATGACACTGTAAAATAGGTTGTTCATTTTCCTGGCCTCTGGTGGATGGGTGTGTGGTTCCGGAGCCATATGCATCTCCCGCTGGCTTATTTACAAGGCACAGCCTGTCCAGACCATCCTGTCCGGCATGTGCCCCAGGGCTGCTGCCAAGCCACCAACATACCAGTGCACAGTGAGGCAAGAACAGGACTGGAGAGTTGTTGAGAAATCCCAGAGCCATTCAAAATTTTGGTGACATTTTTACTGCCTTTTATAAAACTATCAGTCTGCAACAGAATGGGTATTTAAAAAACAAAACAAAACAAAATCCTTCAACCTGGAGTTTAGAAAGCACCACTATGGATGACAATGGTCTGCCCAGCCTGAGCCCTAGGAGGCTCTGAAGCAGGAGGGGACATAATGGAATGGCATTGGAAGAGATTAGTCTGATGGTGGATGCAGACTGAATCCAGTCATCTAATAGAACAAATTTCATCAATCTTCCACTCTGAGAATGCCAGCCACTACAGTGCTTCAAGGGCTCTTAAGCAGTTGTAAAGCCATCCCAATGATGGGCCTTGCAATGGTCAAGTTCAAGTTTAGGTATCAGGGACAAGAGGCTCAAATAACAAGGCTAAAAACAGCAGCTCTCAGTGCTGGCCCTGGACTCAGGATGATGACCTGTGAATAGGCCATCCTCAGAGGGCCATTCAGTCCATTCCCAAGGCCCAGCCTGCTTGGCCACAGGACCTTGGGCTCATCACCTCACTCAGGAACTTGAGCCACAAAGTCTTCATTCATAATGTAGCAAAAAGCATTGGTGACACGAGATAATAAACCCCAAATCAACCTAGGAAGCACCAAAATAAAAAATCACCCTACCCCAAGCATGGCTCACTTCCATTTCACATGCTCCTAGTGGTCTTATCATAAGGACACAATGAAAAACTAAAAAAGAAATGGAGAAGAGCCCTGGGAATGGCCAGGGCACTGCGGCAGAGGAAGAAGCTTGAACTAGGGTGAGAAAGCGGAGGCCTCTCAGTGCAGAGTAGGCAGGCTGGGAGAGACACTGCCATCACCTGTGTGGCAGTGTGAACAAGGAGAGGAAGAGGCAGTCTCAAAAACTTTAGTGGGTGGGTGTCAGGCAGTTAAGGTGCCACTGGGCTCATGACCGAGAGGTGCTGCCCCTCATCTGTCCCAGGTTCTACCTGGTGGCATCAGAATCCTGTGGAGCTCTAGAAGAAGGCCAGATTCTGGGCCTTACCTGGAGGCAGGAACTTGGAGTGGGGGACGGGGCTGAGGAAAGGTCCAGCCCCATCATGATTCCAATGAGGCTGAGAGTCAGGATGATGTTCTGGATGTGTGTGTGTGTGACATGACAACATGGCCCTGTGCTACCACCGCTGGGGAAGATGGCCTTCAAGTCTGTCCGGCATGGAAATCCCCAGGCTTCGGCTCATACATGCCCTGTGGGCCCTGGTGGCTCAGGAGTTGGTAGAGGACATGCGAGATGCTTAGCAGAGTTTAAAAATACTGTAAAAATTGTAGGGGTTTCAGGTGGAGGTGGAGTAAGCCCCCAAAGGGAAAGTCCCTGGTGTGGTGTTCTATCACGTTTTGTCCCTTTGAGCTCATCTGCCTTCTTGTCCTGAGACCTACTGGTGGGAACCATTCTGCAATGCTTGCCTGTCTCCTTAGTACCCCTTCAGAGAACAGAACATGGAACCCCCCCATCACATGAGCACATTATCTTGTGTCCTGCAGCCACTTCTAGGTTGAGCATGAATGAGAAGTGGGAGCTGCACTTAGCCCAGGGTATTTCAATCAAAACATGCTGGTGACAGTGAACCAGGACCTAGCTGAGGATGGGACTAGCTGGAGTCTGGTACTCTTCCAGGTTTATTTCTTGTACTGAGGGTGAGATGAGGGAGTGGGAACCTGGCTTTACTTCTCTCCCTTATTATACTTCTGTTCCTGCCCCACCATGGGAAAGATGCATGGTCTGTTTCTTGGTATTATGGTTGCTCTGAGCTCTGAAGGAGGCAGGGCCAGTGGGCCACAGCCCTGAGCTGGTCTGCTCTGCACATACCCACGAGGGCCTTTGCAGATCCTGGCTCACTGGCTGCTACAGAGAAGTAGTGGAGTGCTGAAGGGGAGAGAGGCCTGTAGAGCAGACAAGCTGAGGTTCACAATCTGACTTGATGGGTTTCTAGCTGTGTGACCTGTGGCAAGTTACTCAATTCCTCTGAGCCTTGGTTTTCTTACCTATGAAATCATGGTAATAACAAAACTTCCCTGTAACGACTATGCTGTCAGAGGCAGGAACAAACTCACCATGGAAAGCTCTGCACAGCTGTACCCTGAGCAGGAGCTTGCTGAGTGACCACTTGCCTTCTAGAATTGAGATTCCATTGAGACACCCAATGGATGGACTAGGGCTTTTGCTATATCTATGGACTCTACTGTTTCTCGGCTGAGTTCTGCCAGCCAAGCCCAATAGCCCACTTTTCCACTGGCCTGGTTTCTCTGCTGGTGGGAGCTGGCGCTTGCAGCTATGTGGGGAAGCACTGCCAGTGAGTCCCAGGTGGCTGTGGGAAGACGGCAGCGGTGCCAGGCAAACACAGCACTTAGCCTCTGATGAAGTGTGTAACCCCCCAAGACCCACAACCGACTCTACCTGCAAAAACACTCATTTCCTGCTGAAATGTTTGGGTTGTTGCAGGCCAGGATGGGGCCAGAATTTTTTTCAATCCAAACATTTAGCTCAGGAGCTCTGTTAAAAGCATAAGAATGGACAGCTTCCTCCCCGGGACCTATGGTGCCCAAAGAGGAGGAGACACTGTTGGCCCCAGCCCTGGCCTGTATTCAGGGCACCTAAGCTTAGATGAGGGGATGAGAACAGAGCTGAGGGGTCATTTCAGTTATAAGTACTGAAAGGGCTGAGTATAAAGGGTGCGTTGGCCCCTTAAATGAAAACCTGTTCTCTCTATCCAAAATATTTAAACCCTATACTTAATGGTAAAGAAAGAAAGAAAAAAACCTAAAATCTGTTCTTTTCAGTTTTTGAGATAGGGTCTGGCTATGTAGCCCAGGTTGGGCTACTCTTAATTCTCTTGCCTCAGCCTCCTGCATGCTAAGATTATAGGTATGGACCACGGGTGGTTAAAATCTATTCTTGAAGGAGGTCCTATCACAAGACACTTGGCTCCATGTTCACTCCTGGAAATCACTTAAAAACCCCAGGCTGAGGGATCTGAGGCCCCAGCTTAGTCCTGGCTCTGCCACTGCCTGCCTGTGCTCTGTCTGGGCCAGGTACTCACATTCACGGGGCTCGGTCTACTCATCTACAAAAGAAATATAATACCTGTTTCAGGGACAAGGTGGACTAATGGACGTTAAAGTAACAGATGAAGTTATCACCACAGTAAGTTTTCCTGATGAGATTGTACTCTCCTGCAAAGGGCCTTGTCTTGTTCCTTGTCACTCACACTGTCCCCTATAAGCCAGGCCTGCAGCAGACGGCCTGAGTCTCAAGTTAAAGGACACCTACAACTGTCAGGGACTCATGAGAGCCTGTTAGAGCTAAAGGGACCCTAGTTAGGCTCATTTAACCTTTATTTTACACTGAGGGAAACTGAGGTGGCCAGGGGGATCGTGCCAGCTACAGGAAGGGAAGCTGCTATTCATTATGCACCAGGCCTGTGCTACACAATGTGCTCATAACTTCCTGAAACCCCATGCAATTCCTTTCTACAGATGGAGGAACTGTGACCCAGGAAGATGAGCTACCTGCTTGAGTTGAGACACGTAGAGCTGTGTTTGAACCCCGATTTCTGCCCAGGGCCTTGTATACCACGTTGCTCCATGTCACTGCACAGCATCAAGTGGTCTAGGAACTAGTTGTTTAAAGCTACCTTGATCACACTGGGGAAGGTCTGGCTATAAGCTATTTTTGTTAACTTCAGAAGTCAGGTGGCAAAAGTCCTTGTTCTTCAGGGATGCTCATGTGTAGGGCAGATTGCAGTAGTTTGGCTGTCATGCATGGCATGCCCTCTGTGTTCCCAGCTCACTGCAGACTGTTCCTCTCCTCTGAAGGGACACATCCAGGAGTACAGCAAATGCTCTACTTTCCTGAGGAATTCTGGGGTGGCTCCTGTTTCAGTCCTCCTCCTCCCAACTAGCAGTCATCTTCAGGCCCAGCTGGGAAGGTGTCCTCTGCATGCGAGCATGTTTCCCTGGCCTCCACCTTGGCACAAGGCACTCTCACACCAATCATAGGGCAAAACCCTTCCTTCTGTTTTACCGTGTTGCAGCCCCAAGTTGTTGAATGCTTTCCTCACTAAGCAAGCAGCACTGGTTAAAATGGTATTCCAGAAAGCAGCATTAAAACCTTAAAGCAGAAAATGGCAATAACATGAGGGTACAGATGCCCTGTAGGCCTGAGCTACCCACCACATCCGGCGCCTTCTGGATCTGTGAGGCCAGCTGGAGGGAGTGGTTGGCTGACGAGAGCTGCTCCCTTAAGGTCTCTGCCTCTCTCTGTGCCACCTCTGCCCTCTGAAGGAAATGAAAAGGGGTGAAGAGAGAAAGTACATTTGGTTTAACAACTGACAATTATTACAAGAACATTCATCAATTCATGCCTGACTGACTATAATTGATTTTCCTAAACACTCAACCTAATAAATGCTTGAAAAAAAACATAGAATGTGATGGATTTTTATTTTAAACAGTACAAGGAAGAAATAATTGAGCGATTATGACAGTAATTTAACGCTAGGAGCAAGGAATCCCCTGCTGATACTAATGCTCCGGCCCACTGAATTTCCCAGACTGAATAAATACCAGTGGAAATAGAGTCTTCTGATTCAATTTCTTTCTATTCTCATAGACCGAGAAGATTTTATTGCAGGATTACTCCTGGGAGTAATTCTCACGGGTAAACAGTGAATTAAAGACACTTTGGCTGTTCTCTCCCTAAAAACGGGCACAATGTTGTGGTTGTTTTCCTCCAGCAACATTTCCATAAACGGATGGGGTGTAAATGCCACTTTCTTTTGTAAGGGCCAGGCTTATTTCAGCATGTTTAACCCTTCCCCAGGCAACATTTTTGAATGTTGACACTGTCATATTCAGCCAGCCAGGTCAATTTGTGGCCAAGGTGTGTGGGTGACTCAGGCCAGCTCTAGGGGCTGAGCAGAAATGACTGGAACCTCTCACCATCTGCCTGTAATTCCTGGATGAGGAAGCTATAGCCACTTCAAACCCAGACTTCCCACTGAATGAAGACAGTCACTCCAGTGCTTGCAACGTGAAAGGGCATCTGGGAACAGAGGAACCAGGGCCAGCTATCTAGGCTTTCTGTACCTTCACCTATTCATCTGTAAAATGGGGACCTTGTCCTTCTCAGAGGCCTGGTAAGGATGCATAGCCACAGAGGTTCCCAGTATACATAACTGGTGCCAAAGGATGTTTGTCAATGGGCCTTGTCCTGGTTTTACAATTATTACTGGGACTGAACTCTAAGGCAGGTAGGAAATGGCAGTAAATGACTTTTGACATGGGGATGGATGGTGACATGCTACTTTTTTGTATATTTTAAAAATTATAATCTGCTAACAGAAAAGATTAATGAGATGAGTCTGGGAGGGCAGGGCTGTTTTGTGTGTTTTCTTATTTTGTGGTGCGACAGCTGATGGTGTCTACTAATTGCTAAAAAAGAACTCACAGAAACAAGCAGTTAGTTTGCCCTGGTACTCACCGAGGAAGGGGTTTTGGCAGCTTTAAGTGATTTGGTGGCAGTGACAGCCCCATTAGATCTGTCTGCTCTGCACATACACAAACTAGGATCTCCTCAAGGGCAGGTGGGCCTGCCCAGGAAGAGGCTGGTGCCCACCTGCCCTGCTTCCCAGGAGCTCTGGAATGTCACTAAGCCTAATTCATGAGGTGCCCGGACAGCCCGTGTATTTCCAAGGAGCTTGTCCCAGAGTCTCTGCTCCAAATGGAATCTAGAACCAGCTGTCAGGAAAGCTGGCAATGAGAACAGTGCGGTGAGGATGGCAAGAGTAATTTCTGGTTCATGCTAACTGCTCAACTATTAGGGTTGCAGGAAAATTTTTGACAAAAAAGACCTCCTTTAGTTTATTTCCAAGTTTTTCTGATAGTCATGACAAATGACTGAAAAGTATATTCTTCCCTTGCTAGTCAGCTAAACCCCTGGGTACAACAATCCCCACGACTCTGCCAGGAATGAAGTGTATTGTGACATATTTCCTAGTCTCTCTGACTAGGAAAAATATTTCTGTGTCTGTTGGAGAAGCTGTCACGGTAGCAGCCAACAGGTGGCATCACCACTCTGACATGTCACACTGGCTCTGAAGTACTCCAGAACAACCAGAGCTCAGGTGGCAAGTTCATGAGGTATCCCTAGGAGCCTGTGGGGATCTCCGGAGGGCAGAGTGCCATCTTATCAAAGGCAGAGAACACCCAGAATAGAGATCTACCTCAATGTCCCCAGAGTGTACTTGCATTCAGTCCCCAAGTTCATGTACAGAGTTGTTCTTGTCCTATCTCTTGGTAGTCATTGCATTTTATTACATCTGGCTTGTTTACTTTAGTGCAACTTTTTGATGTTTATTTAGGATTTAGAGCCTGAGTTTATTTATTTAATATTATTATTTTTTGTGGTACCGGGGATAGAACTCAGGACTTTGCTCTTGTGAGGCAGACACGGTGCCACTGAGCTAAATCCCTGACCCTAGCCTGAGTATATTTAAAAACAAAACAAAGCACCAACAACCCATCAACAAAGAATTGAGTCGGTTTGTGCAGTTAAACAGGCATAAACCAGAAAAATTAAAAGTTAGAGAAGTTCAAAAAAAGGGAGCAGGGGACAGGGAAACAGACACTGATGTGCAGCTGGGATAGATGTGTTTCTGCAGCTGATAACTAAATTTAGCTTGTCGTTGGCAGCTGGGGCAGAAAGAGGGCTGCTGAGCCAGGTTGGCCCCACCTGTTTTGAGGTTCTCGCCTCTTTCTGAAGACCACAACTTGACCAGCTGCAGTTGTGATTCTAGATCTGACCCCAGGCAGAGCTGCAGCTGTTGGGAGACACCGGCTCCTTGTGCTTGCAGACAGCCCTCTGCAGAGGCAAAGCCAGGGCGACATGGGCCACACTCCCTGAGTGGTAGGTTGGGGCAGCCCTCATGACAACTTTGTGGCTGCCCCACAGGAGAGCAGCACCTCAGGCTTTCCCGAGACTCCTGCTTTCTGTCTTCTCCTAAGAAATGAGAGCAAATGCTTTACCCAGGGGACAGCATTCTGGTGGCAACTCTGCCATCCTGCAAGATAGCTGAGAGCCAGTGAGGTTGTAGGAGCCGAGCACCAGCTGTACCTGCAGGATGGTGGCAATGTCCTGTAAACTCTCAAGGCACGTGCTGCTTCCAGGGCCCTTAATTTCCTTATCTTGAAAGGAACAACTTTTTAAGGGGAAGTTATTACTAGAGACTGCAAGCTGGTCTGCAGGTTAACCTCCCCTGCCGGCCACTGTTACCTGGAGGGCAGGAAGCAGCTAGTGACACCTTGATTCAAGAATTTTTCTTCTTAGAGTCAGGCCAGCAAATGGCAGTGATGATTCCCACCATGCAATGCTGACCAACCCCAAAGTCACAAGGGAGCTTCTGCTCCTGGTTTATCACAGGTCATGGTGTGATTCAGAGAAGGGCAGCCGGAACTGTGGCCCTATACAGTTACCTCATCCTAGAAGAAGGTCCACAGGGATGCCCTGTCTCTCTGACCCTGAGGGTTTCTGAGGGCCTCAGAAAGGGCAGAGAGGATGCTTCCCCAATCCCATCCTAGGAGCACACGTGAAATTGTGACACAGGATGTCGATAGCCAGGGGTGCTCTACCACTGAGCTTCATCTCCAGCCTTTTTTATTTTTTGAGACAGTACCTTGCTAAGTTGCCCAGATGGGACTCAAACTTGGCAATGCTTCTGCCTCAGCCTCCCTCAGTGCCGGGAGCTTCCTCTTTCAAGAGCCTCAATTCACTGATTTTATATGGTGGTAGTGGTGGTGTTCAGAGCCTTCTTCTACCCTTCTTGGTGCAAGATTTGTCCTCTTGTCCTCTCTCTATGTGTGGCAGTTAAAAATCAGGCTCCGGGAGACAGGTGTTGAGTTACCTCCTCCAGTGACAAGCCAGCCCTATGAGCTGGTGATGAGTTAAGCCCCCCACCCCCACTCCATATAACCAGACTGTACAGACTGTCAGAAGGAACCCTTTTAGTGACTCTGTACGAAGCAGGTTGGCTTCAGGTGCAGGCAGAGTTGAGCTACTGGCAGCCAAGCCCTGCTCAGAGTAGGTACCCCAAAAGACTTGGTGGATGAACAAGGCGTGAAAGCAGCTTTGCCCTTGCACTGCGGATGGGGAAACCCTGGCACTGGGGGATCAGGGATTTGCTGAGTCAATGTAGTTGTAAATGCCTCAACTGGGATTCCAGCTTCATGGTCCCAACTCCCTGTCAAGACACAAAAACCATGGCCAAATAACCACACACAAGTCTAGCAAGTCTTTGTTTTTCTTTCTGTGATTGGTTCCTTCTCCTCTGTGAGGTTAAATTGTGATTTCTAACCCCAACCTCAGCCTAAAGGATCTTCCATTAGGGCAGTCTCATGCCATAAAAATCATGGAGGTTAACAGGATAGCGGGCTGAAATGACTTTCTCCTGGTCTCTGTTATCCTGGCTTTGGGTAACTCAACTCACAACTGGAGGAGGGGCTGCAGGGACAGGGAAGCCCCTGGGTATGGCTTCTTTCTGTCACGAAGTCTCAAAAGTTCTGAGCTTTTATGGTCACCAAGATAGTGAATATTTCATGCAAGTATCTCGAGCCTGAACAAACAGGTCTCAAAGTCACTCCTACTTAACTGACAGCTGCTGCCTGCTCTTCTGCTGCTCCCTATGAAAAACACAAGCACCCAGCAATACAACAGGGCTACCAGACTCAGTAGAACCTGACTTTAAATCTTATGCAAAAATCCTGTGCCATGTCAATGAACTAAGAAACTGCTCCTTCTGGGGGGGGTCTCCCTGATGGGGAGGCAGCTGGTACAGATGGTGTGTGGCTTCACTTGGAGTGGGGCCAGTGGCCTCCAGGCCCTGCTGGCTTTCCCTGTCCTGTCACTCAGGTTTAGCCAGGGTATCCCCCTAGATCAGAAATCTGGAGTCTTCCTCCTGCCCGCAATCCCCACACTGCTCTCAGGCTGTGGTCTCTCTCCCAGCCTGCCAGACCTGCCTGTCAATCCACATGCCAGCTCTTCTGGTGACTTGGGTCCAGGTCCTCCTCTTGCCCACCACCCGGGAGCTTTCCTCCAAATTTAAGGCCTAGGCCAGCATTGCCACCTTTGGCTTTCCTTTAAAAATTTCACTTCCTTTCTACTTGTCTTTCCCCAGGGATAATCCCTTCAACATTGTGGGGCTTGTATCTTTCCTACTTGGATGTTTTCTTGTACAAGTGAGTTCATCTACATTCTCATAAAATCCTAGACATCAGAGTGAGAAGGGACCTGCCATGTTATCTGGTTCAATTCCTCCTGTCCACTCCGTGCCTCAGTCCCCAGTTCATACTCCTGTCGAGGGTTGAACCACATCTGCTAGCATAGCTCTGATGACAGGGAGCTCATCCCTCCAGAGTGGCACTGTCAGAGGGGGCCAGGCCAAGGAGTTTTTCCACACTGGGAGGCTGATTCCTCCTGCCAGCCTCCGTGCCTGGCCATGGTTCTTGTGTGTCTCAGAAAAAGCCTGCCCATCTTCTTGTTGGCCTTGAGAGCTATAAGGACAGAAATCACAAGATCCCCACCCAAAACCATCCCGTTCCCAATCTTTTAGCATCCTAAATTGCTGAAACAACAACAACAACAATAATAATTAAAAAAAAAAAATTGGGGTTTTGGAGACAGACTTGCTATATCCTCCTGTCTCAGCCTCCTAAGTCCTGGGATTACAGGTATGTGCCATCATGCCTAGCTGAAATTATTATTCTTGTGCTGCCTTTTCTCTCTGCTTCCCAAAGATCAGCAACATCCCCAAGCCTAGTTTCTTTTGTGTTGGGTCCTGGCTCTGGCCTTTGAACATACTCCAGGGAACCGTTGTCCTTACAGCATGGCTTCTAGCCTAAAACGGAGCTTCCTGGCATGGACTAACTGCTGCAGGAGAGCAGAATCACTACCTCCTTTATGCATCCCCTGATGCAGTCATATGAGGCAATTAACAGAGGCTCAGTGGTTGGTAAGGACACTACCCACTTCCCCACGGCCAGCGTTTGCTGGCCTCCACGAGCCTCCCCACTACAAGTCTGTGCTTCCTTAGCAGCTGCAGGACTAACATGTATTTATGGAGTTACTGGTTTCCTAGGCAGCTTTACCTCCAGGCCTCAAAGCAATCCTGCAACGGGAGTACTAGTTACCACACCCACCCACTCTTCCTTGCAGAAAATATTTAGTTTTGAACTGTGGTAAGATACAACATAAAACTGAACGTCTTAACAAATGTGTACAATTTAGTAGTGTCGAGTCCAGCCACACTGTCGTGTAATGTTCTAACCCGCAGAACAGAATGCCCGAACCCATTTAACATCTCCTGCTCCTCCTTCCCTGGCCCTGGTAGACTCCACTGGACTCTGTGCTTCCACAAACCTGACTCCTCTGGACACTACATCTAGGGGGAGTCACACAGTGTATGTCTTTGTGGCTGGCTTAGCTCCCTTAGCAAAATGTACTCAAGCTTTTGTTTTTCTTTTATTTATATTTAAGGATTAAGTAATTTAAGAGGTTAAGGGACTGGTCAAGGCCATACAGCCAGGAAATCTGAGTTAGAACCTGAACCAAGTGTCACTCTGGAATTGGCACCTTTCTCTACAGTCCTGCCTGATATCACGTTAATCTACCAGAGTGACTTCAGCACTCTGAGAAAGACATCAATTCTGCCAAACATCTTAGGCACCTAAGGTCTGTCCCTAAAACCTGGGAGTCAGTTCCTGATGGTGCACTTTCACTCATAAGGCCCAGGCTAGCTGCTGAATAGACCCGGGCTTGCCCAGCAGAGGGTGTGCATGCCCAGAACTGGCCTAGGGGATGCAAATACAATCAGGTGACAAAGGTTCAGTCCTTCTAGTGGCCACTTGTGACTCAGGTCTCTATGAGGTAGAACAGAGCAGACTGAGTGAAGGCTAAGTGGCTATTACACGTCAGTTTAGCAAACACAAGGGAACAACCACTCACAAACCTTGGCAGGAGCGGTGCTTCCTGGCAGTGAGGTGTGACTGCTGTACTTGGAAAATAAGGCTGCATGAAAGAGAGGCCACCAGAAAGGTGTTCTGTGTCCTTGCTTTGGGCTGTGATGGCCAAGAACCCAGGCTCCAAAGCCAGACTTGGGCTCTGGCCCTGGCTCTGTACCTGACTAGCCCTGACCTCAGTTTCCCCACCTGTAACATGGGAATCCTAAATACAATGACCTCAGGGTGTCTGCTGTGAGGGCTAACTAGATTTGGAACAGATGAACTACAAGGTCAGCAACCCAGCACCGCCAGCTACTGACTGGCACTCAGGGAACTAATGCTGCAAATGAGACCTCAGGTAGTTCAGGTCACCCGTGTCTACTGAGGACCCCTTGCAGGCCAACCTGGGATCCTGGGGGTGGGTCTAAGATCCAACACTGACCAGAAAGGTCTCCTGAAGGAAAAGACAGCCACTAGCTCGTAGTCATTCCTATGCACAAGCTGACTTTTCTGCTTCTGAGTTTGGGTGGGTGTTATCAGGCAAGTACAGACACAGACCCCCAGGTCTAGGTGAGCAGTGTCCCCAAAGGGCAGTGCCTATGGAACTCTGGCAAGGTGGCAGGCAGAGACTGCAGAGACCAGGAAGGATTTTTCTTCCAGCAGGCCCTATGCTCACTTGTAATTTCCCAGTTCCTATGCCCACCAGCTGTAAAACTGCATGGGCAGACGTCACAGTTTGTGGCCTTCTGGGCTGAGGAACCTATCAACACTGGCTGCTTCTCTTGGTAAATAAAACACACAAGGAGACTGGTTGCTTCCCCAGGCGGCAGTGCCATGTGCTAAAGCAAAATCCTTTCCTGACTGTTTAGCACTACCAATACTGTGCCATGTGCCTGTTCTGTGCCACATACTGGCTATTTCCTGAAAAGTATGTCTTGCCACTGTCATGTGAGAGGGGTCCTCATCCTGGAGCCCCCTAAGAGCCAATGGCCATAACCACTAGGAGGTGGAGATCAAGAACTCTGTTGGGGGCCAGGTATTTAGCTCAGTGGCACCACCCCTGCTTCACAAGCGCAAGGTACTAAGTTCGATCCCTGGTACCAACAAAACAAAACAAAACAACTCTGTCAGGCACCTCCACAGTGTGATGGATGCCACAGGGCGGAGGGTTAGGATGAGAAAAGTAGCCCCTCAGAGTGATGCCCACCACGGGATGTCTACAATGCTGTGGCCACATCGAAGACTTCACCAAGGAAATAATGGCAGTCCTTTTTGTGTTTTCTTCGAACTTCTTAGGATTCCATTAAAAGCACTGATGTTGCTAGCTGTTAAATAAAAACCCCAAGAATAACTGGCCTCCTGCTTTGGAGTGAGCATTTTCTGTGACAGCAAAGTGGGCATGCTGGGGCAGTTTTGTGCTTAAAGGCCTCAGAATATCCTACCTGGTTTGCTCTTTCAAGGTCCGTCATGATCATTTCAATCTCGTCGGCCCTGTGAGGGTGAGAGGGAGAGAGCAGGTTAGTTGGCAAGGCAGAGTTGTGGAGGGTATGGGCAGACAGGCTTTCTGGCACAGAATGAGGCAAAACAACCATATTTACAGGGATTAGGCTGGGTCCCCAAGGTGGGTGAGAAAAGGGCCATGCAGATGCATGGGGGGTCACTATTGCCAGTATGTCTGCTGGTCTCATTTCATTCTGTGTCTGGAGAGCAGGGTGGTCTGTCCTGGAGGGGCTCCTAATCTTATTGGGGAAGCAGAGCCAAAACAAGATAAAATACAGTATCCTGCCAAGGGCTTGAGTAGCACTCAGAGGAGGGGGAGATGATTCCCCTTAGGAGAGGAAGCCAAGGAAGGATTCAGAGGAAGTAAGGGGCAATTTGGGTTTTGAGGGATGAACAGAAGTTTGCCAGGTTCAGGTTAAGAAAAGGAGCCAAGGATAGGCTAAATCTGGAAAAGGGTCTTGGCAGTGAAGACCTTGCCAGGACAGAGGGCAATGAGAGCAGGTGGTCAGCTGGAGGGGAGGAGGGCAGATAGGGATGGACAGATAGACACAGATGGGGCTGTGCTATTCTGCAGTGTAAATGGCTGAGATCACTGACTACCTGGCTTGCTCATAAAAGCGGAGCCTGTAGGTTCTTATTTACTTGTTACTTTTGAAAGTACTTCCTTGAGGTGTTAAAAGGCAAATACATGGTTCCATCATGAGCACATGCATCATGGGAGGAGAGCAGAGTCCTACTGAGAAGGGCCTGCCAGTCCCAGACTGTGTAGGCCAGAACAAGCTGCTGGGGAGTCCCCACCCCACCTGTTTGACATGGGTCCTGGTGGTTGCCCCTACCAGGCTGCAGGCTGAGATGGTCTGCATCCCCAGAAAGGGTCCAGTGTTCCCACAGGACCTGGCTGGGGCTCAGGGCTGGTCCTTTGTGGCTTTTCTCCATAGGCATCCAGGCTCTGTCCACTGCTTATGCCCATGGCCCTGTGCCCAATGACTCTACCACATGCAGAACCTAAACCACCCAGGCCCCACCCTAAACCAGGCAATTCACTCCTACTCCACCCTCCCTGGCCCTTCCCTCCCGTGGGTGTGTCTGAGGGAGCAGCACAGTGCCCTTGCTCTCCATGGCAGATTTCAGTTTCCACTTGATGCTCCACACACAGTGAGCTCTCTGAGGACCAGCTGTGTCTGCTTGACCCTCTATCTGCTGGATTTTGCATTGGGCTGGAGCCCAGAGTCCCCAGTGTGTCTTGTCCTGCCAGTGATAGCAGATCTGCTCTCTGGGTCAGGCCAGGGCACCTGGACAGCCCTGACTATGAGAGCTCTGTCCCCTGAGACCTACTTCACAGGCCTGCAGTGCAAGGAATGTGGGGTTCACCTACCAACACCAAACACCAAGAGTGGGACTTCATGCCTTCAGGACCCTATGTGGTCAGTTGTGGCCTGGGGTTTTCTAGCCTTAGCTGCCTGCTGAGATTTGTCACTCCCCAGTAGTCTGCCTGGGGTGACAGATGCAGAGGGATCAGGTTAATGCTCACTGTATCTGTGTGAAATAGTAGCTGGCTTCCAGACTGGTCTGAGGAAGGTCTGAACCAGCCCATCCAATGGCCTAGTTAAATGGGGCTATTTTTAGGTGGATTTCATGGGGAAGGCAGTGTCTCTAACATAAAAACCCAGCAGGGCCCTTGCTGTGAAGTGCTGGGTGCAAGGGTGGCTTAAATTACCAACATTCCACGGTATCATCTCAAGCAAACAACATCACATCTTAGAAACTTCGGTGCAAACATAGTCTAATAACTACAAAGTGTTAAAAAACATTAAAAGAGTTGAGGTTCTTTTTTTTTTTCTTCCTTCTGGTACTGCGACTGAACTCAGGGCCTTTGCATTGAGCTACATTCCCAGCCCTTTTTAAAAATTTTGTGACAGGGTCTCACTAAGTGATAAATTGCCCAGGCTGGGCTTGAATTTAGAATCCTCCTGCCTCAGCTTCCCAGGGTTCAGGGATTATAGGAGTACACCACCACACCCAGCTAGAGTTGGGAGTCTTATTAAACACAATGAGAAAGAGAAGCACAGTCCATATAGAAAGCTGCTGGCTTGAAGCTATGGATGAAGGACATGGTATGGATGAAGGACATGGTATGGACTCCATTGGGTATGAAACAAAACACAAAGTTTATAAATTTTTCTTAGGGAGAATCACAAGTTTTAAACACAGTTTTGAATGTTCATCAGACAATTCATCTTGCATTTGACAATGTCCAGATACACATGGTGAATTTCCACCTCTGACATATTCATTCTCTCACTCACTTGATCCTGGACTATGTCTGATACCTTGTAAGTTTTCTGGTGCTGGGTGGCCATGTACAGATGTGGCAGTGCCACAGATTTTAGAGATTTGCAGGGAAAAGGGTGAAAGGGTGTTGATGATGCCTAACTTCTCTCTCAGGTGCACCTGCAGGGCTGGCTGCAGAAGTCAAAAGGTGGGCAAGGTATGGCCCAGCCTAGGTGAGGACACTGGTGGTTAACACGCTCTTGCATCTTGCTTAAATTCTGTCTAATTAACTTCTCTTCATGCAAATATTTCATGTGCTCCATTTGGAGCTCCTGTTACCTGGATATTGTTGCCATACCCACTTCTGTCCTCCACACATCACTGAACCTTTCTTTTATATTCTGTGATTTATCCTGTTCTGCTCTCCTCTGGAAGGTTCTTTTTTTTTGCAGTTCTGGGAATTGAACTCGGGACCTTGTGCTTGCCAGGCAGGTGTGACATCACTGAGGTACATCCCCCACCCTTTGGGAAGGTTAACTTAATATGACTGGTCGTTAGCTGTACTCACACTCCAAGTCATCTTTTTTTTTTTGGTTTCTTAGTTTACTGACCTATTCACACCTGTTCTTTCCACTTGCTTCATTTTCATATTATTCCTAGTTTTTGTTTTACCTGGCTAATATCTTCCCTTGTTTCTAGGAGTTTGCTTCTCAGGCTTGTTTTCACAGCTCATCTGGCCCTTCAGATCACAGACATTGTTGTATTTGGGGATGTGTCTTTCAGAGGGGCTGTTCTCTGAGGCCAGCTATTTGTCCATGTGTTTAGGTCCCCACATGGGTAAGGGAGACCAGCTATTCCACTTGGCAATTGATATAGGGGAGGTTGGAGAAGCCAGCCCTGGTGTGTGCTTTCAATATGAATGGAAGGAGAAAGGCACACAATTGATATTTGCCAGGTATTGCTGAATGAAAGAGCCCTGGGCCTCTTTATAGGATTTCCTCTGCTGTGCCTCCAACAGGAGAGCCCTGCAGCCTGAGCTCAGCCTTGCATTCCCAGGGAGAAGCAGCATCAGAAGGAAGCGGCTCCCTGGGGTCACCCAACTTTCACTGGGCCCACCCACACCTCACCCCTTGCCTGGCACAGCAAGGGTCAGACAGAACAGCTCTAGGAAGAAAGAGGGCACCTGAGACCCCTAAGACTGGGGGGAGGGCAGGACTGAGATCCTGGGGGTGAGAGGTGGTGCTCAGGGGCCTTGGGAACCTCCCTGCATGGGCAGACTCTCCAACTTTCTTCTCAGAAAAATGAATGGCTTTGGATATCCAGGATACAATGCCTCATCTCCAAAAGATTTCAAGTCACTTATAAAAAAATTTAGTCACATTTAAACAGGAAGGTGCCTTTTGGGCTGTCTGAAGCAACCCCTAAAAATGAACTTCAAGTTTTCCATGTATGGGTCAGTTTAACTTTGGTTCCTAAGCAACCGCTGAACAGACCAAAATATTGAATGTGATAACAAGCACAGAAGCACTTACCTTTCATCATGAGAGAAACTCTTGTCTTTCCTAAGCTTGCAAAGGACAATGACAACACTGAGCTCTGCTGTTGCACAGCAGGGTTATTCAACTCCAGCTATGGTGGTGACAGCTGGGCCTAGAGAGGCTGCAGTTCCCCACCACAGAAAGGGTCTAAAACTACAGGCAGGGACACTGAAAGGAGCCAGTGATGCCACTGGCAAGTTCAGATTATTATTATTATTATTTTTTGTGGTACTGGGGACTGAACCCAGAGCCTCATGCTGAGCTATGTCTCCAGTAGTTTTTCATTTTGAGACAATCTCGCTAAATTCCCCAAGTAGTCCTAGAACTTGCAATTCTTCTGCCTCAGCCTCTCAGAGTGCTAGGATTACAGATGTGCACCACATCTGGCTAGATTATTATTTAAAAATCTGTAGGTTTGCTATTCATTTTCTGGAGGTTTTGTTTTGTTTTTTTTAAAGTCAAAGTGAATAAAACTAATTACAATTAGCTGGGAATCTAAATTGTAGTCATGGGCATCTGCAAGGCTGGACCAAGATGACTCATGCCACCTTGGAACATCTCCTCTGGGTCTTTATGATTCAAACTCTTATCAAACTGCTGTCTGCGCCCCTCTAGCAAAATCAATCCTACCAGACAAACTACCCTCAGGAAGTCCTAGGCAAGTGCCCAGAGGTTAATGTCACAGCCATCCATGTTACTTTACAAAGGTGATGAACTAAACTGCATGTGCTTTTATAGTGTGAGTGTTAACAATTTCCCAAAAGTTTTTCATTCTTTTCATTGTGAAGGTTCATCTACCACCTTGGTATCTGGAGCCTGGCGTTAGTCTGAAATCATTTATTTTCCAAAGTCTGTTATAACCGCACGTATTGTTTGCTCAGCAGAACGATTTATTATAAAAATTTAGTTCCCTCACCTTTTTATGAGCTGACAAAACAGCTTCCACTGATCTATTAACCTGCATTGCATTATGCTCTGCTCTGACTTCGAACAGCGGACAATTTCAGTTTGGCCTAGAATATATAGTTCATTCAATCCATTTCCTACAGATCATTTCAGGGTATTCTCTGGGCTAACACACAATTTTTATGAGGAATTTCAAAGGACATGGCCAAGGTTGATAAAAAGGAAATTATACTCATGCTAGAAATTGTGTATCTACTTTCACACGAGCCTTCTAAG